TATTTTGAAAAAGAAATTGATTACGCTGATGCTAAATCTTCCAACACACGATGAAGAACCTTTCCAAAAAATAGGGAGAGACTTGGTTCCAAATGGAGAAAATCCAATCAATAATATCATTATTATTAGGGTCGCTCTCTCGTTCACACGAGGAGAGCCTTGACGGCTAGAGTTAGGGTTTCTCCAGTTTTCTTTACTTTTTCTCTGCACCGTCTCTCTTAGTCTTCTCTAATTATCTCTTTGGGTTCTTCTTGGTGTATTGTGTACGACATTTTTTTGCTCTTTTGTTCTCCGTGGGGTGGCTGCGTCGGCTTCCTTTCTGGGTTCCCAAGGAGCTAGCCTCTAGTTAGGGGTCTCCAACTTAATGCTATGGAGGTGGCCACCGCCTTTTCTACTTAAGGGGGTGACAAGTATGCGACACCAAGTGGGAATCAGAAGCGTGCGAAAACTGGTGTTGGGCATCTGATTGTTATTGGCATGGCTTTTTCTGGTAAGCGTAGTTTTTGCATCCAAGATTTTGTTGACAAGAGGGAGGAGACCAGCCTTGAGGGGTCTCCAAGGTCTCCCTAATAATTCTCCTATGGAATGTCCGTGGGTGACAAGACCCGCCTAGGATTCCACCTCGAAATCCATAGCAAACCTTGCTTCCCGTCTGACAACTAACCTATGATGGACCCACTTATTAAAATAGTCCCCTTCTCCGAAAGTAAGGAAAAATGGGGCCGAGACTCCTACCAAAATTTCAGCAGAGTCTCCCCTGAAAAATGGACTTTACCAAATTTTTCACCTATAAAAACAAACAGAATAACAACCAACTACCTACACACACAATGCAGTAGCACACAGGGTTTACAAAATGGGCCTCCGGCCTCATAAACAATCCTTTAATACAATGTACTAGAACATATCAAATAAAACTCAAACAGATCAATTTGCGGCTACACTTAGATTAACCTAGGTTGCCTACATACCTTACCAAGGGATCAAGCCACACGTAGTTCTTTTAACTAAAAATGATCACAATTCGGAAAATATACATATATTGTCCAAGTAAAACCAATAATTAAATTTAGATTTATTCTCAACTTCAATTTCCACAAGGTATATAACTAAATATTTTATAAATTCCTTTCTTCCCATGCTCCATAACTTACAACAATTTCCCTGTAAAAACTCACACGTACTATACATAACTCTTTTAAAACTAACCGTTTACTTTGAAACTCAAATTACTTTTCTAAAATCATTTATTTCCCACAACAATACCCTATCCAAGGCATATATTGCAAAACAACACTGTCTAAACGTCATAACAATGATCGCACCTGTGCAGAGCACTCACAATGCACATACTCAAGAAACCACAACCCGGAAACGGATCCACATATTTTCCCACATATATATATATATACCCCACACCATCATCATGTACCAGGAAAACAATCCAATCAGGGGATTGTTTGACTAGACCACATGGAAGAATCCTCAATAACCAAGTGGCTAGGGAACGAGCCGTTCAATCGGGGGACTAGGCTCCCATACACGCATAGCAAAATCCTCAATACTCCTGCGGCTATATTAAGTCCTACGCGCGCAGACTGCTTGGCCAAGGGCCTATGAAACACCCCGCCAAGGGTGTCTGGGTTCCGACATATCCAAGTATCCATATCTAATGTTTCCAATATCATTGTTCCGGGGAGGTACATATCATGGCGCACGTCATGTACTAGGGGAAAACAATCCAATCGGGGGATTGTTTGACTAGACCACATGGAAAAATCCTCAATAACCATGTGGCCAGGGAACGAACCGTCCAACCGGGGTACTGGGCTCCTAGACACGCACAACAGAATCCTCATTACTCGTGCGGCTGAACGTGCAGACTGCCTCGCCAAGGGCCCACGGTACATCTCGCTAAGGGTGCCTGGTTTCCAATATATCCAATATCCATCATTTCCCAGGTATCCATCGTTTTCAAGTATCAGTATCCAAGTACTAGTATCCAAGGGGAGGTACATATGATGACGTGTAACCCATAGCCAAAATCTGAAATCCACTTTCATAAACCCATATATAATATAATATAATATACCCTCCCTTAATTCAAATTTTCCAAATTTTCAATATTTCAATGTACCCAAATATTTATTCATAGTAAAGAAAATAAACTCTCGAAGGCATAAATTCCATAAAGACCCAAAATATCAATCAAATAATTATCAAAACTTGCTTACACATGCAATTTCCATAAAATACTTTCGTAATCGAACCCCATATCATCCAATCTATATACTTTAATAATAACTATAATATTCTCTGCAATTCTTAAGTCACAGTGTAAAAGCCGAAACCAATCCGATAGCACATTTTCGTAACTCCATTAACCAAATACTAATTTCCAAACCATTCAGTTTTCCACCATCAAAATCGAATTCTAGCTGAGCACAAAAACTATCGTCATTCAACATCAAATCATGCATCAATTCACACCATCCCCATAATCCAATTTGTATCACAAATAAACACACACATAAATACATACATTCCAATATTCCGAAAGCAATGCACAATTAAAACAATTGTCCAATCACTTACAAAACTCACTAATTGACCTCAACCGAGAATTTAAATTCGAAACCCTAGTTCTCAAAAACTTAACGTGTGTACACAACTTTAGAAAGGTCCTAAGGCCATTCTAGTACTTACCCCAAAGAACGAGACAATCTCAAAAGACACGCGGCCAACAGTTTGGTCAAACTTCCCATTTTTGGTCAACTGAGCCCACGGGGACCAAGACCTCTGATTTTTTATCCGAAAGTTCCTATAAGTCCAACAAAGTCCACTAAACAAGTTGTGTAAGTTTGGCCTCGATCTAAGCGAATCGCACAATTGGACGGCAATCGTTTCGCCTATACCTAGAATCATTGATTCGGAGTATCCGGGACTTCGATTCTCGATTCCTGAGTTCCTACACAATCCTAGAGGTATATAGAACAACATAATTGAAATTGGGACTGATCGAATGGTCCAAACCTATCAAATTCGGATATCTCTTAATAGGCGCAATATCCATTCGATAGTCAAACAACAACCAATTCCAAATCCGAGCATACCGTCATGCTCGGGACGACGTGGGGAGTGTTTTAGAACACAATGGGCTGACACCTAGTGGCTCACGCGCCGCCACCATCCACCGGCAGAGCGTCGGTGTCTTGAGAAAATTTCGGTAACCAAAAAACTCCTAATTGCCAGTCAATACCCATACCATTAGAATCAAACTATGTAGGGATACAATTTGTTCTTAGACCACGACCAAAAACTAATCGAAATTAGCCGAAATGAAGCCGAAACCGTTGGCATAATATGGGGTTTAAAATCGATCTCTAAAACCTCAAAATTAACCCAATCCACGCACATAAACAGGTAGAGCATGAAGATTAGATGAAGTTTCATACCTGGTTCGACGATTTTGGCCTCCGAAATCGCCGAAAATCGCACAAACAGTCAGGCAACGAATGAGGGTTTTTGGGTTGGTTTCAGTCCAAAATTGCGACCAAACTTGGAATTTCAAAGGTGGAAATGGGTATGGATGTGTAGATGAGGAAGAGATGAAGAGATTGTGAGTCGTGGCGTCGCCAACTGTGGTCAGATGGAGGAGAAACCGCCAGCCAAAGTGGCCAGTCTGTTTTCGCAAAGGAGAGAGAGAGTGCATGGGGGAGGAGAGAAAAAATGAGAGAGAGAGAGAGAGAGAGAGAGAGAGCTGATCTGTTTTAAGACCCAACTTCAAAAGTGAGCCCACTACGTGTCTATGAACTCATGAGAAAGAGCTCTACGCAATGGCGCCACTCAAATCCCCAAAATCCTTCCGGCTTAAAAAGTAACTAAAGTGCCCCTACCCTAAGGGCAAAATTGTATATTTAGAAATAGAAATAAATTGAATAAAACGATTAAACTGGGTCGGGGGTGTTATAGTGTGCTTGGCAACTGATGACCGATCCTACTATGAAGATCTTTCTTCGGAAATTTCTTTCGGCTAAGAGGCCAATCTTGGTCTCCCTTGCTTATCAAATGGGGTTTTGGATCATCAAAATTGGAGGTGGGGGTTGGTGTTTGACTGGATCTGTTATGATGCTCACAATACTTTTTTTACTTTGTACGAAGAAGTATGATGTTTTCTTTAGATCATAGGAGGCTTTCTTTGACAATACCTGCTTAGTGATGTGATGTGTTTCAATGATTTTGCATTTGGGTGATTGGTTGGATCTATTCTAATACCCATAGTACGTTTTTGACTGTGTACGAAGAATTATGATGCTTTTTCTAGATCATAGGAGGACTTCTTTGAGAGTACCTACATAGTGATGGGAGTTGTTTTAAGGGTTTTGTGGTTGGATTTTAGGTTTGTTTGTTTCGTATAAGTTGTTTGATTCTTCTGTTTAGTCAATAGCATGTGTGGTACTCTTTCCTATCCCGGAGTTTTGTTTTGTCTGGGAAAGTTTTAATGAGGCTACCGTCAACATGTTAGTTCCTAACATGTAATGTTCCTTTTAATGAAACACCATCTTTTATAAAAATAAAAAAAAATCATTATTATTAGTAGCCGAAAGACTAATAACTCCAAAATATGGTTAAGTTGATACCAAAGTTGAGCAACATAACTTAAGTACATGAGGAAAATAGATGAGTCAGAGTTTCTGGGCCATATTACAGAAAGAACAAAGAGGATAAATAGAAGTAAAATGAGAAAGTCCTTCTCTAGTATTAAGTCTACGTTGTAAGAAAATCCATTAAAAAAGTTTAACTTTAGGGGGTAATTTTAATTTCCAAATTTTGACCAACAATCTAACAATGAAGGAGTATGAATAATTTCAAATAGTCTAGTAGTATTAATGGTAGAGTGTGGGAGACCGAATGCCTCAACTTGTAGAACATAAGAAAAGCCAATAGGAATAGAACCAACAAGAAGTGGACCAACATAATTGTCACGAATAATAAAACCTGCAACTGAGTGTACATTAATTAGAGAGAACAAAACCATCAAAATTAATTTTTAAGACATTAAAAACCCGCACCCTAAATTGAATTTCCTATAACTTCAACGATTCACAGTAAAGATGTTGAAGCTTTTCTTATTCTTATAATGCCTCCAGGCATGAGTCAACAACATGAGACCTCCAAGCTCTCCTTGGAATTTCTCAGAGTTCTTGGTCTGGGTTCTTGTCTTCGTCAGTAATTGTGCCCTGCATTCGCATTCAATTATGAAATGGTTGAATCAAATTCCAAGTGGCAAAAAATCCATGAATTTGATACATAATTTCAATTTTTGAGATTTTGATATGGGTTTTGAACTAGTGTTGAGTATTAGAGATTGCTGGGAAGTGGGAATTGGCATAGTCGAAGAGAGGGAGGGGAGGAAGGGGAGAGTTAGACAGACAGAGAGATAATGACCGGAGGCTAGCGTCAGTTCAGAAAAAAGAAAAAAAAAATCATAAAACTAAAATGTATATGTTAAGTTTGATGTGTTATATTTTAAGTCGTTAAATTATTATAAGAGCTATTTTTTTCGTTTTCGCGGAGAAATGTGTGGGACTCTAATGCTGCGTTTGGATGAAGGAATTCTAATTTTCATAGAATTTGTAAATGACGGAATTTGTAATTACATCATTTCAAATTACGTCAATTCCAAATTTCCAGTGTTTGGATATCTTGTATATAGAATTTAGGAAATGACGGAAATTACAATTTTCCCTGTTTGGATAATCATAAAAAGGAATTTTAAAACTGAAATTCGCAGAGAAAGCAGGAGGCTTAAGAATATAAAAAAGCATCTCAGAAATCATGATAAGCTAGCTGTCCTGTAATTGTGACAGAAGGTCACTGTTCAACAAAGACAATTTCGATCAATATCAATTCAAAAGGTTGGATATATGATTCTGGGAGCTAGGTTGGATCTGCTACTGTTTAAGGTACAGTTTTGATAATTTCGATCAATATCAATTCAAAGTCATCTATATTACTAAAAAAACAAACGTAACAGTAAATCAAAATAAATGAATCCAATCATTCCAACTACTGTTTAAGGTACTTGTAATTAACTAATGATAATTAATAAAGATAACATGAGAATGAAAAATGTGTTTTATGCCCTTGGTGAAATAAACATCAACACCATTCCTTTTTTTCTATCAACTGGAAGTGTCTTCAACATGAGAAATTGTTTCTCATTTTCTATAAACCAAGTGCATGCCTTCAATTGTTCATCTGGACTAAGTTCTGGAATTGCATTAACTTCATTATATACTTCTAATGGATCAAGCTTTTGTGTGGTAGCATTGATAAATTGTTCGAACGATGAAGCCATTTTAGCTACTGAATCAGCAAGAACATTAGGAGTACCTCTTTTCTTTGGTGGGCGAATTTCAGAAGATGGTTGATTTCTTTTCTTTGGACAACTAGAATTGGGTGAGACATCATCAATGTGAGAATTCTCAAAACCTTGAGTATCAGCACCCAAGTCAACAAAATTATTCGGTTCGCTATCAAGGGTCATAACCTCAGCAGCTTCAGAACATGTTTCAGCACCCTCTCCAGTAGCTCTATCTTTGCCACATAAATCCACTATATCATCCCAATTTGCAATTACTTTATATCGAAAAGTTCTAGCATCTTCATGAGACTATCAAGAAAAAAAAAAGGTTAAATAACTCTAAATTTACCACAAAAAATATTCTAGTCATGCAAAAAGGTGTAATTCCATTGTAAATTACCTTCACATACTCATTCCAAACATTCTCTTCATCTATAGTGATCATCTTTTTTGTTGCATCCCAACTGAATCCACTCTGACTTAATATGTCACTGACTACAGCATAAAACCTTTTCCATGTCTTGACACGATTTTTAATGTTATCAGCACTTACTTCAATATTATATTGGGCAGACAATATGGCTGCAGCAGTGTTATAAGCAACTGATTTCCAACCACCATCTCCTTTGTGACCCATCTGGCGTTCTTCTCTAAGTATCTCTGCTAATGAACGATCCATTTGTATGTTCCAACGTAAATAACATTTGTCATCTCCTTCATGTTCATTACCTTGCTTCTCTTTCCTTTTCCTCTGCTTTAGTTTGGTTGCTTTCTCTGCCATCTTATGTAATTGAAATAATTTCAACAACATTAATACACAACATTAACAAATTCATTCAAATTGCTAAAAATGTTAAAAATTCAATACATGAAGTAAACACTTATTCAAATTAAAACATTACAAAGTTCACGAAAAGTTCAAATTGAAAAATCATGAAATCGTTGTGCCTCTTGCTTGATAATCATGAAACATCTGCATTGCTAACTTAAACGTGTAATGACAGATGTAATGGTACCAAGAATAATTGACATTTTGTCCCTATTTTCTTCTTCATCTCTAGCACGCTTGCGACTTAAACGTGTAAGAAAATTATCTACGTCATCACTAGCCATACCTGTTTATATTTCCAAATAATCTTATTATATAGTCATCAAACACCAACAAAAAGCCACACAATTTTAGCTAAGGTGGAAATTCAATAACAAAATTAGCAGATTGAACATTCCATGAAAATCGGATTGGAGAGTGACTTGGAGACAAATGAGACCTCTAAAATTGACCAATATGCTTAGTTAAAGCAAAGCTAGAATATGCACATTTCAAGTTCCAAGGGCTACCAAAAACTGGTACAAAGCATAAAGGCAGATGTGGTATTCCCCATACACTCTCTTAAATCCAAAAATTAGTCAAACAGAGAGAAGAAGAGACCATAAACATAAACTACAAGAAATTATGCAGACTACAAGGTAAGCTATAATCTCCTCAGCCATAACAACTGAGGAACCCATATCATAAATACAGAGTAAAAATCTGCAGCCAGAAAGTGCAGAAAACAATAATTTCACAACATATAATCTATCCTTTATTGGAACAACACAGATTGAAAAGCAAGGATAGGTTGAGACTATACCTTTATTGGAGCAAAACAGAGTCTTAGATTGAAAGATGATAGATGGCAAAATCTGAAAACCAAACAGAAACCAAAAGAGATCAGATAACAAAACAGAAAGTATAGATAAAGAATACACCGTGCAGAGAGTAGAATACAAACAGAGCCCGGTCAAACCCATTGGATAAAGAATCAGATAACAAAAAGAAAGTAGAGATAGATCGATCAAACCCATTAAATTGAATACCCATCAATAATATCAACAAAAAAATAAAAAAAATTACAACTAGATTGAAAGCTTACCTGCGAAACTTGGATGGCCTGCCTTCTTCTCCCACTCTTGATAGAAAACTGATATAAGACCTGTGAAACTTGGATGGCCTGCCTTCTTCTCCCAGTCTTGATAGAAAACTGATATAAGGTATCTTTGTTGGCGCGCAGCAAAAACAATTTCCCCCGCTCTTGAGATTTGCAGAATTCCACCAATTATGATAGGATTTAAACTCGGGATTTTGGATTGGGAAATCCCTCCATATTTCCCGCAAGTGATTTGCCAAATACCTAGTAGATTTTGCCAAACGCATGGATTTCCCTTTTCCATCGGTGAAATCCCGATTTTTTTTCAAATCCCGTCTTTATTTCCTTTTGCCAAACACACGGTGCAAACGCTCGAGATCCCACTTTGCTTAATTTGTGTACATATGTCGCAACGAGACACTCCTTCTAATTTACAATTATTCTTATTTTATGATTTACAATTACAGATTTTGGACACTCCTAATTTATTTTAAAAAGTACAATGGAATTTTTTTTATTAATTTAATATGCTGACATGAATATTTTGTTTTGAAAAAAAATTCAAGTTAAATGGCCAAGCACGAAATGGACTTAGCCTTTGGGCTGTATTGGGTTGAATGTTTTAATAAATGGGATGGGCCAACACGGCACGCCCCAAAAAACTCAATGGCCTGGTTTACACCTTTAGCCAAAATTTAGCTCAAGGGCATGATCGTTTAAAATAAAATTCAAAATAGGTTTTTGGGGTCGTCGTCTCCAGTGGAATTTGAAGACAAGGGCCAATGTATGGACCATAGATTTTAGTTGGATATTCACGAAAAGCAATGGCCAACGTTTGAACCATTTAAAGATGAAAAAAAAACCTGGATCAAACATTGATGTAAAATCAATCCAACATTTATTCTAATATTTGAAATAATTTATGTAGAATAAATTTGTAATCTATTGCACAACAAATAGAAAAGTTAATCAACGAAGTGTCTTTTAGAATAGAATAATCTTAAGGGGCTTCGGTTGGCCAAAATGCAAAAAATAAGAATGGAAATACTTGCCTCATTTTCTTGGAAGTATGAAAATCTTTAATGCCAATCACAGTCAAGCCAGTCCATAATGTTTGTGTGATGTGCAATTGCACCTTGCCTCCAAAAGTGTGAGGCAATCTAGAAACTTGAGCATCTCCAATCGATGTGTCAAATTACCATATGGACATGAAATGACAAAAATTAAAAGTTAAAGTTAGTTGCTCTAACCGAATAGTTAAATTCATATAGAATTTGAAGACTGGAAGAGAAATCTCAAAAATAACATATGAACAAGCTTAATGTCAAATATTATTTTAATATTTTTTCAGTCATAGACCTCACTATCATTTATAATTTTGTAAAACTTTATGCATAAGATGGGCTCCATTTGTTTTTTAAATAAATAAATAAATAATATGATATTTGACATTTCTAGTGGAGCTAAATTTTTTCTTAAGTGTCAAATTGCCACATAAAGCATCAAATTCAAACTTAACATTTTGCATTTGACATCTCCCTTACACATGTTAGTCTAATGATTACACAAGTAAAAAAGACCTAGTATGCCATCGATGTTTTTTGGGTTTTTCCTTGAAGTTTTTGCTTTATTTTTATATAGCGGACTTCTTTTTACTTGAACTAACCAAATTAGTTCCTAAACGTGAAAACTTTTATTTTTATTTTAATACAAAAGCATCATTTAAAAGGGCTTTAGAAGGGCTCGGCTTTCATTTATGCGCAGATTCTCCACAATCAATAGACCAACTGTGACCACAATTTTGAGAGTTATTTACATAACATCCCATGAGGTTTCAAATTATTTTGACAAAATCCATTTCTTTATTTTTCCTTTGAAAAAATTGATGATTTAATTTTAAAAAACTTCTTCAAATAACAAAATTAATCTCCTCAATTATTCCTCAGTATATGGGAAATCTCTAAGATCAACATTGTCATTTGGAATTTTTTTTTTTTTATGACATCAATTTTTGGGTGGAAATTTAATAGAATTTTTGTGAAAGTAATGTGAAACTTCAATGAGTGTTAAGCTAATTTCTAAAACCTCTAAGTTTTGTGAAAACACCAAAAAACTCGAGGAGCGTTGTTGTGTAACCATAATTTACTTATTTATTTTGGTGTTTTAATGAATTATTTTTGTATGTGTATCAAATTGTGATTTGAGAAAGAGGAATGTCACCTTTTTGCTGTTACCAGTGAGAATATGAATGATACTTTATTTAATAACTATACTAAAATGGAATGGTTTTGAGGATTCTGCTCCAGCGTTTGGAACGGCCTTGGAAGCTTTGGTCAGGAAAGGGTTTGCCATAGCCATTTTAGTGTCGGCAAAACGAACAAAAAAATAAATTTAAAAAAGCACAGAGAAAACCTAGAACATCCAAACAATGATATTTGAGCAAGAGCAAGTCCATTTCATATCTGCAGCCCCAAGACACTGGGCGAAGCAGCTAAATTGTAACAAAGTGCCCATTGGAAAGAATTTTCATAATACTAGCCTCTAATTAGTTGCTTTGGTTACAATATCAACTAGATTGTACACGTATCTCCAACTAGACAAACAAATTACCTACTCGCATTATACATGCAGCAGCAGCAGAAGCTAGCCTCGTCTCCTTCGAATCTATCAGGTTCCCTCATCGACATGCATTGTTGTTTTGTTTGCTGGTTTGTTTTGTTTTCAGGGGAGGGGTAGGTGAGTTGAGGTTTCACAACCCATCAACTGGTCGACGAAGGCCACAATAAACAGCTTTCCGAATAAGAGGATGCACATCTTCAGTTAGAACCTCCCTGTCCAACTTCTCCATGTGAGGCCAAATCTGCCAGGCACATAGACACGGTCAGAGATTTAGTAGCAAAAAATTGAGAAAAATAACTTCCCATGCTGAGTTCAAAGGCTAGCATTCAAGACTCCTTTTCATAGCTGGCAAATTCACTTGAATAAGTATTCAGCCTAATCCATGAAGTGGGAGGGTGAAATCCAGGGATTTTATTACTTATGGGCACATTGTTCATTCAGCCCATAATCAGTCAAATATTTCATGGAACTATAAAATCTTGAGAATAAAATTATATGTTATTCCTTTCCATCACACATAACCTATTGATATTCCATTGAAAACAAATGTAATACCAAAAAAGGGAGGCCAGAGGAAGAAAACACAAAACCGATGAATTAAAGTTAGAGGTACAAAGTGAAACTAGCACTTCATTTCAAAAACAAAAACAAACAAAAAAGCATCACAAAAAGAATAAGTATTTACCTCAGAAGCATATTGCCTTGAGAAGGCCTTGAGGTAGCCTAAAGTCGATAGACACCACTGCTCTTTTTCACCTACATTATATACACTACTCATCCTCCCACCATTCAATTGGCTGCCAAAATCAAGAAAAACAAGTTAAATGCACTTTTACTTGAATAACATGCAATGTCAAGACAATTTATTAATTTTTATTGAAAACAAGAAATGTTGTGAAAATAAAGGGTCTACCAAAGCTATCAACTACTAAGGAGTGACAAAAGATACTTTACAATCAACTCAAAATTCCCTCTCACTACAAAGAGCATTGGCATAATGTTTGGACAAAAATGGCCATAACGAGGCATGCAGCCATCTGTCCATACTCTGTATCAAAGAGAAACACGTTGTCCCACAGAAGCTCCACCTCCACCTTTTCAGAAAGTTTATAATCTTCACTTGCAAGGGGAGGTAATGGAGCATAAGGTCCTCCTTTTTAAAGCACATCAAGAGTATTGATCTTCCCATCAAAAACCAACCAGGAAATAATTTGGACTTGGTGGGTACGCCAATCTTCGAAATCATCTCATCAAGTTTAAAACCTAACTCATTTGAATTTCTATCATGGACTTAGAAAAACAATCACAGGAAGGGACCCCAGACCACAAACTAGTCCAATATCACTAGATTCAAGAATATATGAATCCAAACAACAAAGTTGAAATCACGCGAAAGCTCTCTAACAGACAAGTTTCAAGAAATTAGTTTTTTTTTTTTTTTTAAGGAAAAGAAGGAAATGCATTACGATTGAAGGGCCGATTAAAGTTAGAAAACAAAGACTTAAAAGATGATCCGTTGTCATGACAAATGTTTTCTGGGAAATGAATTTATTTCTATCCCCAACGACATGTAAATAAACAAGAGAGACGGAAAACCAAGATAGATGCATCTCCAAGAACAAAAAGAACCTCTCTCTACAATCAAGGAGTCTGGCCCATTCAAATCCATGCCATATTTACAGTAACACAAGTAATCTTGCTCTTGAGGGACCCGACAACCATCTTCTTGACAACAGTTTCTCCTTTTCAATGAGTTTCCAATAATCCCATAATCTCTCCCCTCCCAAACAAGATCCTTCATCTCCTCTAACCTTCTACTCAACATTCCTTTTACTTATATGTAACATAGGATTTTCTACCTTTTTATTGAAGGGAAAAAGGTACCTTTTCTTAGGTCTTCCATTCTCATCATCTACCTCCATTGCCGACGATTCTTCAACGTCGACTGCCATAGAATCTGCATGAATCGACTTCAATCCCTGCAATGTAACACATTTGGATGCACTTGGCAGGCGTTCTGTCAACACGTTCAGGAAGTTTTTGTACAAGGAGAGGAACAATGCCTGTACATGAGAATCATGATTAGTACAAGAAAACGATGAGGAACTTTAAATCAAAGAAGAGAGAGCCAAAAGATTGATTAACTAAAACACATAAAACTCCCAGGCAATGATTTGTATTTCAAACCATGCCAGAAAAAGTTTGGGAAAAAAAATTAGCAAATACGTTACTGCAATATATGTATTTTTATTTTTATTTTTTAGGATAAATGCATGTAATTTTATTGCTGACAAGAAAAACAACTTTGTTGCATATTTATATCATTACCATATTTTCATGATGCCATTTCAATGAAGCAGATAAAATCAATCTACCCTTGTTTGGGGATATATTTATTTGTCACAAGAAAAACAATTTTGATGGATGGTTATGGCATTGCCATATTTTATGGGTGTCATTTCAGCGAAGCAGATAATCAATCTACCCTTGTTCAGGGGGAGTGCATGTATGTCCGCAAAAACGTACTGCACCACTGCTACTTTTTTTTTCTTTTTCGAAAAGGAAATAAAATTTATATAAAAATAAGAGGGATACAACAGTGGCCAAGAAAGCCACAAAGGAAAGAAAGAACAAAAGCAAAGAGCAGAAACCAAAACCTAGACCCCTAAGTCACTAACAATAGCAAAAACGAAGGAGCAGAACAGAAGACAGAGACCCCTAGAACACAAACAAGGAAAAACCTCGAAGGGAAAACCTAAAGGATTAACAAATGGCTGCAATCCAATCTAA